GCGGCTGGAAGTGCAGTCTCGCAGCTAAGCAATACACGGTGGCGAGATGGAGTTACTTCTGTCTTCCTAGTTGTGCGTTTGCTCTGCTGTGCTCAGGTGTGACCATCTAGAGGTAAAGCTGAGCTGAGGTTCTGTTGCGCCCTCTTCTCCCTCTGCCCTCCTTTCTCTCTCTCCTCAAAGCCCCTTTCCTCTGAGAAGGAGAGTGGCTACCAGTGCATTTTAAGCTTGGGATGCAGACCCCCTGTGGGTGGCATCTCTGTGTCCCTTGACCCCGTATGTGTTCCCTGTCAGTCTCCCTGTTTGGAATCAGGGAGAGGGCATGTCCTGCTTACTGTGTAAGGGGACCGGCCTGTTGAATGAGGAGTGGGTAATCCTAAATGGTTGTGATGTTAATTTTGCAAATAATAAGTAGACCAAAATGCAGTATTTTTAAATACCATCTTAGGTACCTTTAGGCAATAACTTCTTAATATTATTTAGCTCTTATGTATTGCTCTACTATGTCGTGTTCTCAATTACAATGGCACTTATTGTTTTACTCATGGTTAGAAACCAGAGCATAATGTTTGTGTGTATGTTGTTATAAGATCTTATTTTGACCAGTTATCTGCATAATTATAATTTCATTACTAGTTACTCTGGTTCTGATAGCATACATACTGTGAAAATCCTTCAATATCAGAGCAGGGCTGTTCAATAAAAATATATTGTGAACCACATCGGTAATTAGAAATTTTCTATTAGCTACATTTTTTAAAAAAGAAACAAGTGAAATTCATTCTTATAATGCTTCATTTTATTTACTACACTCAAAATGTTGCTTTAGCATGTGATCAGCGTAAAAGTCAGTATTTCCAAACATGCCTTGAAATGTCGGTGTCTTATACTCAGATGCCTATTCTAAAGCCATGTTTCAAGGGTTGTACTGGATGGCACGGTTGTAGGCTGACGAATACCAGTCCACCAACAGCCATAACCTGCTGTATGTTCCTGAACTGACTTCTAGTTGGTATGTACAAAGCTTCTGCTTTCAGCTTTAGTGACTGATGTGCTGTCTGCTAACATGCAGTGGCAGAGAAGGCATAACTTCTGCACCTCACTTTCCTTCCCCAACTGGGAAAGGGATAGAACTACCATAGATTGAGTTAATCACGTTTGCGTCTGTGTAAAATAGAAGCTAATGTATCACATAATAAATTTTGAGTTCAGTCTTACTGGGCCGGGTTATATTATTGTGCATTACTATTTAGAAATTGGGCATAAATTAAGTGGTTTAATGAATTTTATCTTACATATTTTTTTTATCCTAGGCTAACGTGTTATTTCTATTCAGATGAAATGGGCAGGTAGTAAGGGGGCTCCCTACAGCTAAGGAATTGTAAGGGCTCAGCAGTTGGGTTTTCCTTTGCACCTGTCCAGTAGCTGTCCATTTCCAGTATGTCTGGCTTCTTTCTCTGCTGTCCAGGTTGTCAGACCAGGACTACTGTGGGCAGATTGACACAGCGAGCCTCTTATAGTTGGGCCAACAGTATGGTATTGGGGATGAAAGTAACTATCCTTATGCTCTGATGCAGATGATCAGAAATTCCTTAGTGGTCTTTCATCTCAAGTTACTCCTCTATAAATTTGTTTTTCTGAAATAACCACCAGAGGCATTGTAAATTCTCTACAGCAGTTGTGTTCACAGATTTTTACAGAAGGTATGTGACTGAGCTGCACAGGAAGTGAGCTCATCTATCATCTGATACACTTAGGCTTTCTAACTTTCTAAACTAATTTTACGAAGATGTATTGCTAATTCCTATGTAATAGACATGTATCTGTTCCTTCTTCACTTACTAAAGTATTCATCCATTCATTAAAACTTCAGACTCCTTATCCCAGTAAATATGCACTCCAGGGGAACAAGGAAAACCCCATGGTGAGCACAAATGAGAAGAGATGGCGGCTGGTGGGTGGCAGGTGAGCCTAGGGGTCGAATGAATCTGGGCAGATTCATGGCATCAGAAGGATGTTTTGTGTGGAGAGAATGACAACATCAGGAACAAGAGTCAGCGTAGGGTGACGTGGAGCATGATTGGGAGCGGTTTGTACTTGAACCCGAGCTGGGGAGCTTCAAGTGCCTATGCAGAGGCAGCTTGTGACCACGGAGAAGTCTGGTCAGGTCAGATGGTTCCCACTAGGCTTTAGGAGAGGCAGATTGGCAGTGGAGAGGCAAACACCTCTGCTGCAAGACGGCGTCCTGGTGTTGCTGGAGGTTTCTGAAATTCATGATCAGTTTACTTTAATATTTAAATTTGGATTTGCAGATTTCATGTTGTGTGTAATATTGTAAGTTGCCTAATTAAAGCAGCACAGGATTTCAGGTTACTTAGATGTACTTGTTACGGACATGGGGTCTGCAACCTCACCATGTGTAGTAGATGTCTAGAATGTCGTTTTGATGTAGTAGGTTTAATGGAGTCCTTGGGCTGTGATTCCTGAATGTCAGATTGATTGAAGACGTTCCTGACAAGAGCAACCTGCAGTAGTCAGGGTTGTCATGGCCCTTCCTAGATGAGCTTGAGTACCAAGGAGCCCCTGCAGATGGGCAACAGGGAGAGGCAGAGCAGAGTTGTTATGCCATAAAGAGTCATCGTCTTACAGTTTGTCTAAGTAGGCAATTGAGGGGCTTTTATATTCATGGCAATATTCTAAAGCATACCAGAAATGGGGAAAGGAATCTTGATTTATTGTTTTAAAATATGTGTTTGTTATTTTTACTAAAATACTCCTATTGCTCGCACATGAGGATAGTTTTTATTATATTTTTATTATTTTAAGTCAGTGTTGTATTAATCAAAAGATACCACTACGTGAAAACATGGGTAACTAAGAGCCTATTCCCACCAGCAGTGGTTCTGACATTCAGTAAGCATTGCTTTTCTATCAGTCAAGCAGGAAACAGAACAACAAAGTCTTTGTTTTAGAACTTTAAAAAAATCTGAGCCTGGCGCAGTTGCGCAGGCCTGTAATCCCAGCGGCTCAGGAGGCTGAGGGAGGAGGATGATGAGTTCAAACCACCCTCAGCAAAAGCAAGATGATAAGCAACGCAGTGAGACTCTGTCTCTAAATAAAGAATTCAAAATAGAGCTGGAGATGTGGCTCAGTGGTCTGAGCCTGGTAACTCCCCCCCCCCCCAAAAAAAAAAATCTGGCCTAAGTAATAGGGAACAGTTATGTAGCAGTACCAGAAAAGGAAGGGGGTTCAGTATCCTGGCAGAGTGATTGATGCCTACAAGCAAGCAGAGGCCCTCCTGGCAGGTAGGCTCCATCCAGGCAGCCATGTCTCTTTTCACATGTGCAAACACAGAGCTCATGGCAGGAGGGGCACGCAGGGGAGGCTTGTTGAATGAGCAGAATGGTCATTTGAACAGCTGTGTTGTGCAATTAAGAAGTTGTTTGTATCTCACAAAGATATCAATATGTGACACTTGGACTAATTAGATCATTAACCCAGTTTAACAGCAGCTGGGGCTGCCTTAGAAGTCAGGTCCTGGACTGGGGTTATAGCTCAGTGGTAGAGTGCTCGCCTCTTATGTGGAAGGCACTGGGTTCCATCCTCAGCACCACATAAAAATAAAATACAGTTATTGTGTCCATCTACAACTAAAAAAAAAAAAATTAAAAAAAAATAAAGAAGTCAGGTCCTGTATGTGCCTTGGGCCCCTTGACCAAAGAAGGTGGTACATGGACAGGTGAGGTTTTAGAAGTCAGGTCTTGTGTGTTCCTGGATCCCTGACCAAGGAAGGTGGTACCTGCTCAGGTGAGGTCAGGTAAAAAGTGTAGTTTACTGACGTTGCTAAGTGACTGGCTGAGGTCAGAAAATTGCCATTTGTTGGGTATCTAGTATGGGTTCATTCTGTCTGAAAGGCGCAGGATTTGCCCTGCTCCAGGGAGGCTTCTATGGCTGTCGTGGAGAGTGATTACTCTCCAGTGCTGGGCTACCTCACGGGGCTGCCTGCAACTGGGGGAATGCAGCTGTAGACGTGGGACAGGAAATTGTTAACAAATGGGGGAAATGTGGATAGTTTCCAACTGAAAATTGCATCATCACAGGGTCTTGTAAAAAATCTATTTTAATTAAGTGACTTGCTAAAATCATTGTTTTTTTCCCTTTCTGTGGTATCTTATATACTTTCTTGTATGAGGTAATAATTCCTAAGTGTTTAAGTTGATATGAATTTACCTTTGTCATGGCTTAAAAATGTATGTACTCAATCATAGAATGTCAGTAATACCCAAATAAGATTTCATGTGTAATTTTTCCTTTGATGATCCTAGAAAACTATCCAGTGTTAATTTTTATCTTGTAATTGTGATGTCTAAGTAGAATATAGATGATTCTGTAATTATACATATACCTAAGTATGTGTCATTTTATTATGAAAGAATAATGTAACAACTTTATATGGCTTGGGTTTTGTAGCTTTACTATTTGTTTAGAGTTACAAAGTGTAAGTTACAGTATTTAATGCATACTTTTCTCATACTACCTAAGTCCCTCTTATTATTGACCACAAAAAAAAAAAAAATACTCGTTTTCTCTTTTTAAATTTTGAAAAGAACATGGATGTAAGGGTGAATTGCAGAGGGTAGAAATCCTGCCCCGTGGTTAACAGCATTTGTCATGTAAGTGCTGATTATTGACTTGCGAGCTGCTTGGACCCTTCTTGGTCAGTTCAGGATTCTAAGTCCATTTCAGTCTTATCGACTGATTTATGAAAATTGATTTTTTCAGGAGCTTTTTTTTTTTTTTCCAAATTTGGAATCAAAAAGTAGAAATATTTTCTATAGTTTCTTCAGGTGTAGCAAGTGGAGTGTTGATTCTGTTGAAGTAGTTCAGAGCTCTGGAGTGAGGTGCAGCTCTCTGCGCACTCACGGCAAGTTTTGGTTTGTTGCACTTTGCTGCCCATTTCATTTCCTGCTGTGCACTCAGCTTCTTACCTTGTTTTTGTGTAGGGCGCTGGCCAGGATAAACTGGGCATCTATGTCAAGTCTGTCGTGAAAGGAGGTGCTGCAGATGTGGTCAGTATCACTGCTGAGGAGGCAGGCTTTTGATGTCCTGTGCTTGATGGATGGGATGGGTGCTGTGTGCTGGTGCCCCTGGCTGAGCGGGACTGGGCAGGACTAGGGGGACAGCCAGTCTGCTCACACTGCTTCTCTTCTCCCGCAATGTGTCTGCACACTGCATGGTGGGCCAGGATGGACGACTAGCAGCAGGAGACCAGCTCCTCAGTGTGGATGGACGCAGTCTGGTGGGGCTCTCTCAGGAAAGGTATGACCCATGGATTATTTGAAAGCTTAGTGTTTTTATGTGATTTTCACATACAGTTTTGAAATTGGGAGATGAAAGCTAAAAAGCTCTGTGCCCTTATTATTCTATAGTATTTTAAGTGTAAACTCCTAGTGTATTTGACATTTCCTTTGCTATCAAATTATAACTATATATTTTAGTCTAGAATACTTTCTTATAAACTAGAGATACACACACACACACACATATACTCAGTACTTTCTGAAATTTATAATTTTTGAATATCATCTTTTTTTTTTTTTTCTAACAGGAATGAACCCAGGGGTGCTCTACTATTGAGCTACATCCATAGCCCCATTTATTTTATTTTATTTATTTTTTTGGCGGGGGGTGAGGGAATGGAGACAGAGTATCACTAAATACCCAGGTTGACATCAAACTTGGGGATTCCCCTGCCTCAACCTCCTAAGTAGCTAAGATTATAGAGATATGCCACCACACACCCAGCTAATCTTACTATCTTAATATATTAGGGGATATGTTAGCATGCATTTATGGTTCGTTTTTCAAAGGAAGGAAGTGGCAGAAGGTAATTTGTCTGAAAGTCAGAATTGTCCAAAATGGCAAATGAGGCTGGGTGACATGATTGGTGGCTGTGTTTGCCATGGATGACAAAGTGACAGTGAATATGATTTCATTTTTCTTACACTGGTGACATTCTCTTCCCAGGGCAGCAGAACTTATGACAAGAACAAGTTCCGTGGTTACACTCGAGGTAGCAAAGCAAGGTGCCATCTATCACGGCCTGGCCACCCTCCTCAACCAGCCATCCCCCATGATGCAGAGAAGTAAGGACCATGAAGTGCTCGCTGACCAGGGGCAGCTGGCTTCTGCTGACCCTATGCTGTGTGCTAGATGTATCAGACATGACTTGTTAATAGTTACAGCAGAACCAGTGCTGGTATTATCACTGTCTCAGTTCTGAAAATAAGGATGTCAAGGCTGAAAGCACAATAGCAAGACTCAGATGGTGCCACCTGCCCTGGGAGCCCATTCTGATCCTCCAGTTCCTTTCTGCTCCCGTGGAGCTGATCCCGTGCTGCTAATAAGCTTCTGTAGGCCAGGAGCAAATAGGTGCTTAGCCAGTCGTGAGTGAGTAAAGATTCAGTTTTGATAGGCAAGCCTAGGGTGGGAGGTCCTTAAAGGACATGGCGCATTCTTTACTGAAGGAATGTTCACACATGTGCTGAAGTAAGCTATGTATCTTAGTGTATGTAATTCACTTTAAATTAAAAATTCAGTTTTTAAAATAATTTATTTGTGGGAACTGTGTTTGTATAACTACATCAAAAACATCTCACGATGAAATTAATATAAACTCAAGGCTTTGTAAAGAATCCCTTCAGAAACCTCAAGGAGAAAAACATAATGACTCACTCTCTGAAGTCATCGCATACCTTCCAGATCTCTGAAATAATACCCTTTTTAATATGTGCACAGCTTGTGAAGTGTGGTCTTCACAGAGCCCTCTTCTCCACAGAACCTGACGTCTGTAGCTGGAAGTAGCATGCCAGGCCCTGGCAGGCGCCTTTGCTTACTGAAGCCAGCAGGCGGGGAGGGCGCCCCAGCTAACCACACATTCATCATGAGCCTTGCCTCTGCATGCCTCTTACATTTGACCCCACCCCATACAACAGGACACAAGCAAACTAGACTTTGAGTTAGAAGCCAGAGAGGGAAGCCCCTAAGTGCACACAGCAGATCAGAGTCGGCAGCAGGTAGAACATGGGACGCAGACAGCTGGCACCATAACAATGCCATGACCCCATCGATCCAGTGACAAGATCATTTGCAAGTCTTGAGGAACAAGCAGACCACATTTGTCTCCTGGTTTTTAAATTTACTTTAGAAGGGGTTATTTACATGGGTGTCATTTGATGAGAATAGAATTTTAGAAGTATATTTTTTTCTGTAGATACTGGTTAAGTGAGATGCTTTCTATATTCTCAGGATTTTTATTTGAAAGCTTTTTAACAGTTCTATACAAAGAATCTACCTTTACATAAAAATCACTATTTTCTTGCTGGGAAAAGTTCTTATGAAATTTAAATATTTTTAGAATTTGTCTTCCTTTTAAAGCTAAACAAGGTGTCTAAGATCTTTCAACCAATGAAGAGATATTGAATGTACTTTGATTTCAGTTTCAGATCGACGTGGCTCAGGTAAACCCCGACCAAAGAGTGAAGGTTTTGAGCTCTATAATAATTCAGCTCAAAATGGGTCGCCAGAGAGTCCTCAGCTGCCCTGGGCAGAGTACAGTGAGCCAAAGAAATTGCCAGATGACAGACTGATGAAAAACAGAGCTGACCATCGCTCTAGCCCCAACGTGGCAAGTAAGAGGGGTCACTTCCTTCCTTAGTACCCACGTGGTCACAGTCAGCAGTGAGGGGGCATGGTTCTGTGTTAGCTATTCAGGTGTCATCACCTGCGTATTTTGGCGGAGTGAGAGACAAGGGGTGTCGGGACTAACATTCTTAACATTCTTTTCTTGTAACAGAAGTAAAAGCCCAGTTGATGCTCTGGGCAAACTGTCTTGGTAATGTCTTTGACCAAGATTGGCAAATTACCAACTGAAGCCAAGATGGTTTTGACATTTTTCAGGGGTTGTTAACAGAAAGGAGGAGAAGTTATAGTAGGAAACACAGTGAGGCACAAGATTCTCAAAGCCTGGCGTGCTCACTATTTACCCTATCCCTAGTCTTGGAAAAAGCTCTGGGCTGGGTCTGCAAGCTGGGTGGACCCAGCTTCTCCCCCACCTCATGTGTTTCTCTGATCTGTGGTGTGAACAGTGTGGTGGTATGTGGGACACCATTGCTTCCTTTAAGGACACTCTCACGTGCTTCTCAGGTGGTTGGTTTACTATGAAACCTTTCCCTGTTTCCAACAGATCAGCCGCCGAGTCCTGGAGGGAAGAGCCCATATTCCTCTGGAACCACAGCCAAGATAACGTCTGTCTCCACCGGGAACCTCTGCGCTGAGGTCTGATTGATGTGCTGTGGCTCTCACCTCTCTTAGGTCCTTAGGTCCCCTGGGACCATCCCAGTTACCTAAAGCAGCTCTTACTCAGCAAAGTGGCCTTGGTTCTGACTCTCAGATTTATAGCATTTAATTTTTGGATTTTTAGTAACTAGTCAGGTAAATTCATGTTGAACTAAATGAAATGTGTTTTATTATTCACAATATGGAGTCAAACACTTTTAATTTTTAATACAGTATTTAACATATATAGGGTTTTTTATCTTAAAACAGATCACTGGAAACGGAATTAATCTCTTTAAAGTTGCAAATGACTCACTCTTCCTTTTTCTTCACAATTTGCAGGAGCAGAGCCCTCCACCCAGACCTGAAGCCTACCCCATCCCGACTCAGACATACACCAGAGAATATTTCACGTTCCCAGCCTCCAAATCCCAGGATCGCATGGTTCCTCCTCAGAACCAGTGGCCAGACTATGAGGAGAAGCCCCACATGCACACAGATAGCAGTCATGCCAGTGTTGCCATTCAGGTTAGAAGCAAGTGGTTCCACAAACCTCTGCACCTGCGAGGGAACAAAAGGGACCAGTGAGACAGGGTGATGAGCGCTTTCTGAGGCACAGTTGGAATTTTCTCTAGAACAGTGAGGTTACCTCTTTCTTTTTTCTTTTATGGTTTTGTGGTCTGAGGAAAAAAGACATAGTGTAGAATATAGGATAAGTGAGAGAATGGCTTCTGCGTGCTCTTGTGTCTGTGCAAGGAAGCCTTAGTGGCAGAAGGCCTTGCACTTCTGGGGCAGGGCTCCCTGAGGCAGGACAGAGCAGTGAGAACCAGGGATGTCATTTGCACTTTGTTTCTGTCTCCATCCCTGGAGCTTGTCATGCACCTGGGAAGTGGGGCTGGTAGACACAGGGTAGTCTGTGCTGCTGTGGTGGAGGGTCCTGCTGAGGGCCAGCAAAGCGAGGGCTTGGTGTGAGTGGAACCAAATAAGAAGTACCTGCTTGAGAGCCAATCTTCCATTCAGGTGTCAGAGAAGACCTGAGCCTCAAGGTGGGGTTTGAGCTGAACCTTGAAGGGTGAGAGAAGCAGGCAGGCAGAGAGGAGAGCATCCCACTCACAGGGGGCAGTGCATGAGGAGAGCCATAGCCCATTTTCTGAGGGCAGAAGTGGTCCTCTGGTCTGATCCACTGGCCCATCCTGCCTTTTCCTGATGGCCCACGGCAGCCTGGTTCTGTGAGTGTTGGATGCCCTTCCTCGCCCCTGCCTGGATGTCTTGCCAGACCACAGGTGCAGAGTCGCAGACCCTGCGGCAGTTCCACAGATTCCATGTAATTCAATACTTCATGTAGTGTGTAGATTATGTGTCCTGGTAATGAAGAAGCTCTTTTTGTTTGAAAAGTAAAGCTGTAGCTAAGTGTTGGAAGTAAATGTCCCATTTTTCCATTATGCTGTTGTATTTTAAAGTGATACTTTCTCTTTTTTGTTTATGGAAAGTGTGTTCATTTCTTTTTTCTTTCATGTGCACATAAAACCTCATGGCCATCGGGATTATAGCACTGCCTTTTTTACATTTCCAGGATAGGAATGGATTTTTCTCAGATGGATGGGCCTTGCCCATGGACACATCTCTGTTAAAGAGCTTATAAAGCTAGTCCTGAGCTTCAGGACTCATTCAGAAATGGTCCAGGGGTGGATTAAATGGCTTAAATATAATAATTCCTCTTTGTGAGGATTAGAATTCTTGTTAAAGAGGACTCACTGCTCTGCCCTTCATATAGTAAGACTGCACTCACTTTTTCTCAGAAGCCAGCTGCGAGGCTGGTAGCCCTTGTGCACTGTCCTTGGAGCACAAGGAAGGCACCAGCAGCCATGGGCCTGACTGTTCCTGTGATGCAGAGGGGACGGCTCATCCTTCCTTGGGCAGATCAGTTCACCGCAGTCCCTCTTGGCTAGTGAGCCACAGGGTGGCCCCAGCCTCCAGTCCAGACCCTCGTTCATCAGTTTTTGTAGTCTGTCTTCTCCACAAATGTGAAATGTCTGTGAATTGGGGGTGATTTCTTCTGGTGAATAACTGAAGTATAAAATTTCTCCTTTTTCTTTTCCCAGCGTGTTGCCCGTTCCCAAGAAGAGCTTCGGGAAGAGAAAGCTTACCAGCTTGAGCGACAGCAAGTAGAGGCAGTTATGGATCGGAAATCTGACAGTGACCTGTGGATAAATCAGAGCTCCTCGGTGGAATCCAGCACCTCCAGCCAAGAGCACCTGAACCATTCCTCCAAGTCGGCCACCCCTGCTTCCACACTGACCAAAAGTGGCCCTGGCCGATGGAAAACACCAGCAGCGGTGCTGCCCACCCCAGTGGCCATCTCCCAGCCCATCAGAACAGAGCTGCCTCCGCCTCCGCCTCCACCTCCTGTCCACTACGCTGGAGACTTTGATGGGATGCCAATGGATTTGCCTCTCCCACCCCCTCCCGCCAACCAGGTGGTTCCACAGTCGGCCCAGGCAGCTGCAGAACGGAAGAAGAGGGAGGAGCACCAGAGGTGGTATGAGAAGGAGAAGGCCCGCCTGGAAGAGGAGCGTGAGAGGAAGCGCAGGGAGCAGGAGAGGAAGCTGGGCCAGATGCGTACACCACCTCTGCACCCTGCTCCCTTCCCTCCCCTGGCCACCCCTCAGGCAAAGCCTGAAAAGCCATCCACACTCCAGAGGCCCCAGGAGACAGTTATTCGCGAGCTGCAACCCCAGCAGCAGCCCCGTACCATCGAGCGCAGAGACTTGCAGTATATCACCATCAGCAAAGAGGAGCTTTCCTCTGGGGACAGCCTGTCTCCAGACCCCTGGAAGCGGGACGCCAGGGAGAAGCTGGAGAAGCAGCAACAGCTGCACATCGTGGACATGCTGAGCAAGGAGATCCACGAGCTGCAGAGCAGGGCAGAGCGCACTGCAGAGGAGAGTGACCGCCTGCGCAAGCTCATGCTGGAGTGGCAGTTCCAGAAGAGACTGCAGGAGTCCAAGCAGAAGGACGAGGACGACGAGGAGGAGGAGGATGATGATGTGGACACCATGCTGATCATGCAGCGCCTGGAGGCCGAGCGGAGAGCCAGGGTAAAGGGCAAAGCTCCTGGGTCGTGGTATCTGTGCTCCCTGCTTGAGCTGCCGCATATGTGTCCCGGAGGCAGCCAGGCCCGTGGACAGGAAGGAGTAGAGTGGGCTTTGGTTCAGCATGCTCGCTGTAGGAAGGGTGTTTGCCCCTGACCCACAGAAGTGAGCTGGGACGGAACGTGGTGCTGGAAGTTCTGGTACTTGTGCTTTGACAAGAATTAAATCCACTATTGTCTTAATTAGCAGCCTCATAATTAAGGGAGATAATAGGTATTTGCTAATGACCACTAATAATCTTGATCAGGGGTCTGCAAAGCTTTCCTTAAAGGGCCAGACAGTAAATACTTGGCTTGGCCTCATGGACTCTGCTGTGAGGCACAGTGGGTGTGCCTGTGCTGACAAAGCACGTACAAACGTGTCAGGTCACTCTCCTGATCCTGACTGGGAGCAAAGAATGTGAAAGTGTTAAATCATTGCCAGGCACGGTCTTTATAGTAATTATACCATTGATGAAGCAGGTATTTATCAGATTAATAGTTTCACTATTATAGTATAAAGATATTGAGAACTTTTGATCTTACCTTATTTCTCTATATTTTGGAAATTACTTTGGTTTCAAATAAAAATTTAAAACCAAAATTTACTTTAATTCAATTACTTATTAAAATGCCAAATTTTAGATGAAAGATTCTTTGTTGCCTCATCCAGAGAGGCACTTTACTAATTTGGCATTGAACATGAACTTGTGGAGAGTGCTGTTGTTGAGGTCCTGTTGGTGATCTCAGTGTTCCTTTTTAATCTGCACAGTGCAGTGTTGGCAGGAGACAGCCACGAGCATGTTCTCTTGGTCTTGGATTTAGTTTCTAATTTCAGCTCTAATTTAATGCAGTGAATTGAAGGGCTGAAACAGTACTGATTGTAGGTCAGCCCTCTTATCCTCCCACCCTATGATGAAATTCAACTTTAGAGAATACCTGTGAGCACGCAAGAGCCAATAGTGGGGTCCTTTTCAGTTTGCTCACACACGTGCTTCTTAGGCACACACACACACACACACACACACACGCGTACATACACGTGTGTATATGTGTATATATATATGTTTTATATATATAAAATCAATATCAGCCAAATGTGTTAGTAACTTTGCCCCATAACTTTATCCTGAGTCCCTTTTAGACTCATAAGTTTCTTAAATGAGACCAAAATATGATTTTAATGACAACATTGTTTTATTTAGTAAGTCATCAGTAATAAACTCCCTTACGAATGATGGTATTTCAATTAGAAGTGCTTTCTTTGAAAGAGCTACTGTTTGGTAAGAGCCAGGAACTTTTGCAATTGGTCCTTTGAGTAGTTTCCCCCAGCGCACGCAGAGCTGAAGCTCTCGGGAACACTCACTGTTCTGGCCAGCTCTGGTGCACACTGGCCAGGGGCCCTGCTGTGTGCCAGGAGACAGGTCATTGCTCAGGGAGGTACAGCTCAGCTGTGACTGCCCAGCAGTCACAGGTGCAGGGAAAGCACAGCTCTGCCTGTGGTGTAGACCATGCTCCCCGAGCAGACAATGTGAGCACTCGACTACTAAAGCCCTGCTCCAGCAGCCAGTGAGAGTGGGCAGCTGCAGCATAACATTTCTGTAGGATTCTTCTGTGTGAAGATGAAATTTTTATTGAAGGTCTGTCAGAGTTTTTCCAGATGGTTAAAACCCTGAATATTTCAAAGCCTTTTAGTCTGGATTATATTTGGGAAAGCTTTTTATAAGAATTTAATAAAAGTATTAATTTTTTCTCCATTAATTACATTAAGGTTAATATCGTAGTGTCCGAATAAGAGACCAAAGGAAATTTGGCTTTTTTGGTTTCTATGTATCTTAATGCTGAAGCCCAAGTATTTAATACCATGTGGACACTTTCCTACTTCTCATATGAGAAGTTAGCTTGCAGTTCTTCACTTTTCTCTCAGGTTGTCCAAAAACATGAAGCATGATAGCAACAAAGTATGCCGATGGCAGAATTCAGGTCTGAGTCTAACTTTTTTTTTCACGCTTCATCTTTCTTTTTTTTTTCCTTCTCTGTTGCCTGCAGCAGACTGCTGTGCCAGCAATCTCTGTTCTAGATTTGGTATGTTCTTGTTTCCTTCCTTTGGTGCTTCTCCTGTCTCGATTTTCCTTCCTCCTCTGGTGGTGGCTGTTTTATGTTCTCAGTAGGTCAGCTCTGCCCAGGGTCTCCTAGACCAGGGGACTGGCCCTGTGACTCTCTAGAAGCATGCTTTTGAATGTTACTAGATTTAGTTACTTTTTACTTTTCTCTGTTAACTTTAAGTGTTACTGTTTGTTTATGGTTTTGATCTTTTCTCAAGTTTTAGTTATAATTTGCTTCTGTGTATTCTTATGTAGTCATTAGTATGTGAGCAAAACAACTAAAGTTTGCAATGAGTAATCTGTTTCATTCTTGTTATATTAATAGATTTTACATGTTCAGTTGTCATAAGCTCAGTTGAAATGATATTCAGTTGCCACTTTCTTTACTAATCCAGCCTGGAATCTTAGCTTATCAGCCATACCAGATGGTCAGGTCGTGCTCTGTTGTGAGTCCAACATGTTTGTCAGTTTGGGGAAGTTTTGGTTGAAGAGTTACTGCTCTTCACGCTTAAGAAGCAGATGTGTAACCTGCTAGACCGTCACATTCTGACTGATCTGTATTTACTGACTTGAAGCCATTTTGTTCTGGATCAACTGCGGGGTGAAATGGAGGCAGCCCCAGGCAGCACTGCAAATATTTCTTAATCTGGGTTTGTCTTGATGCTGTTTCACCAGTCCCCTCTTCAGCACAGGGACAGTGTCACCCACAGAAAAGCTTTCTTAAGATGTGTTACTTCCCTGGTAATCAGAAAGCATATTATATGAGCTCTGCGTCTTTTCCTTTTGTTTTATGTAAAGAAAAAATGAAAAATATATATATTCCCCCTATTTTGTATGAGAGGTGTCCATAGATGTAAATGGAAAATATCAATCAGGTGGTAGAGCATTTAACATTTGTCAGTGTCCACCATGTGACAGGCATAGGCCTGAGGCTCTAAGAGGCTGACTCTGCTCTACAAGAGTCTGAATGCCATGAGACATTGATGGATGAGCGGCAATGATTAAGAATAATGGGCACACTTAGATTTCTTTTTTATATTTATTTTTTAGTGTAGTTGGACACAGTGCCTTTATTTTATTTATTTATTTTTATGTGGTGCTGATGATCGAACCCAGGGCCTCGCACGTGCTAGGTGAGCACTCTACCGCTGAGCTACAACCCCAGCCCACACTTAGATTTTAATTTCAAAGAAACAGTTCTGAGCATCTAAAAAGACAAGTATTTTGAGTATTAATAGTCACGTAACCCACATGTTTCTGAGCATTTCTCAGCTCAGCCTTGGTGAGTATCCGTGTTACTGATAATGTGCCATTGTCTGTAGCATGCCCGTGCTGTCAGATCTGGCAGGTTGCCCGGGAGCCTCCTGAAAGGTTAGTGGGCAGTGACAAGCATGTGGTCTTCAGGGAGCAGCTTGGAGACGTGTCCTAGCGCATCTCACTCCTGGCGGGAGCAGTGGCATTCCCACGGTGGGAGGCTGCCTAGGCTGGCTCCTGCCCTTCCACCCCTTCAGTGGCCCCTGCCACCTCAGGGCTGCACGATGCCAGTGCCACACCCCCTTACCCTTGAGACCTGGAGACCTCCTGCCTGTCTCCTCGAACAGTCAGTGTTCAGGACTGAAGCCCTTCTGCCTGCAGCCTCCTAGCAGCCCCTGCCTCCACCCTCTTCGTTCCAGTGAAGGCTCAGCTGCTCACCTGGGGACTTTTGCCGTCTCCATAACCCCTCTCTCTGTTCAAGAACCGTTGGCCTCTCCGCCTTAGCACTTGACCACCTTGGTCCCTTAGCCTGAGCTGCTGTCCCTTCCTGCCTGGTCATGGGGAGAGTATGGCGGCACTCTCTGTTCTGCCCCTGCCCCTTCACAAGGTCTCTAGACAGAGCAGCTGTAGCAGCCTCAGAGACCCCAGCCCTCCTGAGTGAGTCTCTGCCCCACAAGAACACGTTCTGGTTCTCCCTGCAGTCTGTCTGGCTCCATGTCCTCCTTAGTGCCCATGCGGCTGCCTGCCCGCTCCCATGTGATGACTCTCAGTGTGCCTGCCAGCTCGTACCTGAGCGCCATGTCATCTCCCTGGGGTTGCCCTGGCTGGTTGCCTCCCGCCATGACATCTTGTGGGCATGCTGCCCAGCACTGTGGCCTGTGCCCTCCTCCCCAGCTCTTGATCACCCTTCCCCCTCACTGCTTGTGTGCTGAGCACTGTGTCCTCCATCCCTAAACATGGCTCATCACATGTGCATTCACCTCTGTGGGTAGCAGTGATATTTGTCCATTTCTGGAGGTGTTCTAGCATGTGGTTGATGGTCAGTAATGGCCAGGCAAGTGGCTCTGGGGCCAGATCCCCGAACTCCAAGGGCATGTGGAGAGGGAGAGGCTGAGAGGCCCTCCAAGTCTTGATTACTGAGTGATGTACCACCCTGTTCAACCCACAGTGTCTATAGAGGAGCCACAGGCCAGCTTGCAGCAGAGCTTTGCCTGCAGGGTCTTTCCCTTAGCTCCAACAGGCAGATTTGGCTCCAGGAGACCTGGGCATGTCTGCACCTGTCCTGCCTATGGAGCCCATCCAAGTAGGGTCCAGGGCAGGTGGTCCCTGGGCTTTTGAAAGCTTCACAGGCAGAGGTTCACAGGGCAGCTTGCTAGTCCTCCTGCCCAGTGACAGTGTGCATAACCCCTGCCATTTTTGCTCTAGGTTGCCAAATAATCGCTTCTGTTTCTCCTTTCCTCATAACAAACCTGCCAAGTGGGTGAGTGAAAGAGCCAAGCCTGGTGTGAGTCTGGCCTGCCGTCACAGACCCGGCCACAGCAGCATTGCCTGTCCCCCAGTCCAGAGTAGTACTGGTGCTACACAAAGCACCTCCTTGTCATAGAGCAGTGCTGCTGGCCACTCACTCCACCAGACAGTCCCAGGGCCTGGCCAGCGCCAGTGGTTGTCTCAGCTTTGCCTTTTACCACACTTCAGTGGTCATCTGCTGACCAGAATAATGTGAGACCCCACAGCAGTGCTCCTCCTCTTTGGCCAGGATGCCTTTTGGTTTTAGAAGCTCTTCTGGATGCCTTGTGTGAAAACCCCAGCTGGCCCTCCCATCCCATGCCACTCTCTAGCCTGGCTTTGGTGTGTGCAGTAGGCATTAGACACAGAGAGTGGAGGGGATGAGATCAAAAGCCTATCTAGGGAAGTGACCTTCAGGAGGAGGTGTACTGCCTGTGTACCATTTACACCGGAGCACCCTGGACAGAGACAGGCCCCGCCCAGTATGGACAGTGACTCCCCAAGGAGGGCAGAGTTACTGAAGGAATCAGGAAGAGAATCGTGTTCATCTCACTGCCAGTGAATGTGTGTCATGGAGAAAACAGAACTCACCTGTGGGTGCAAGACCAGAGCTGGCCTAAAGGAGCACCAGGTGCATGTCTTACTGCCTGCTTGGGGTCACTCTGCTTTGTTTCTGTCACTGAGACAGTGTAGCAGCTGAGCTCTGGGTCTTACAATTCTAATCAGTTTCCTTGGATTAGGAAAAGGCAGCAGTAGCGAGTAGGCTGGGCTGAGGCAGGGACACATGGTGCTGTCGTGGGGAGGGCTGTTTCTTAAGAAGAGCTTTGACCATAGCATGGGGGAGCTTTCTCTTGGATAAGCAGCTGCATGGCAGAGCTGGGCTCAGGGAACCAATGCCTGTTGTAATGAATTATCTAATTGTGGATGTTCTTTATCTTTTGGCCTTAATGTTTTGTTTTTGTTTTTGGTGGTGGTGGTGGGGGTCACTTCCAGTAGGAGTGAGCAGGAAAGGTGTATAGAGGAAGGAAGATTCTTAAGGACTTTAGGAAGAGTTCAAATTGTCTGTTTGGTGAAAATGTCAAAAAAGCCAAGGTATCATGGCCCACTTCCTGTTCAGATATTAACCCCTACTGTCTGCCTTGGGGATCCTGTAGTAAATGGAGAGAGAAGGCGGGTGTTTGTGGCCTGAAACTGTGCCCATTTAGATCTCAGCCTGCACTTTTTAAAACAGAAGTACTCATGGATGTGTGGACTGCCAGTCAGCAGGGCCATAGCCCACCCGTGCATGCTGGGTCCTGGTCCGGAGCGTCTGTTCCCCAGGCATTTCGTCCTCTCCATGTGTAGCAAAGAGCTGACCTGACTGAAGTCCAGTGTCCCATCAGGCAGGTGTCGCTAGGTTGCAGAGTGGTCAGACTTGTAATTGATGTTCCAATGCCTTTTACTCTCAACGAACATAAACCACCCAGTTCAATGTACTTTAGGAACTGTTATTTTGAGTAAATCAATAGATTCTTTTTTTCTCATTAATGCTTTGGAGGGGGCAGGAGGGGAAATAAATGACATATTTTTGGAGAATAAAACAATTTCTTTTGGAAATGAAAATACATGAATTAGCCTAAGAGTGGAAAGAAACTTCTTAATTGTAATAGCACCAATTAATATTTCTTACTTTAAAATTAGTAACTAATGAGCTGATCACAAGGAAAAGGCCTCTTACTTGCTGTCCACCATCCTGATTTAAAGGCATAGAGCTTTTCTGTAGACGATGCCTGTTCATAGATTTATTTGTAAGACAGACAGGTGCTTGTGGAAATCCTGCCATTCTCGCCTCCTGTGGTGACGCTCCTGCTGGGCTGGAAGAGATAACAGCTTGCCTCGGGTACCAGGCACTAGGCTTTGCTACACCGGCCTTGGCCTTATTTAGCGTGGCTCTGGGAAGTGCAGCATGAGGAGCGCCTTGCTTGGAAGGGAAACGCCTGCTGCGGGGCGCAGCCCAGACTCCGAGCTGCTTTTCTCAGAACTTGTGAGCTCTGCGCTCTGCTGCTGCTGTGTGGGTGCTATTTCTCATGATGGGTGCTGAGGGCTGAAGTTCTCAACAGGCCTCTCCCTTGCCTAGCTTGCAGGCCACTTGGGCCTGCTCTGCTCCTGCTGCAAACCCACCCTGCAGCTGAGCATGCTGACCTTCTCTGCACTGATGACTAGGTCATGCTAAAAGAAAAGTTCATCTGTCCCCTACAAGGCCACTTCAGTTGTTCTGAGTTGTTTTAGCATTGTTAACTGATATGAAGAAACTAATAACACAGGTTAATTTATTCTTTCCAATCAGATATGGTGTTTTGTTCCACAGGAATCAAGGAATAGAGAAGTTGCTAATGTTTCTTTGCTTTCCCCAAAAATTAAATTCATAAGTTAACATTTTAAATTTTGTTGGGATCAATTTATAGAAAAATTGGTAATTTTCTAGATATTTGAAATACATCATAGCAATTTTATGTAAGGCAGTTTTGCAGTGGTTAAAGATTGAACTAGATGGCTTTGAGTAATCTTAGAAATTTTAAATCGTTCTTTTGATGGTGTGTCATGGTGTGGCTATGGGTGTCCTGTAGCCCACCCAGCTCCATGCCAGATGAGAAGAAATGTGCAGGGGTTTCAAAGTTACACTGTCTCAGGCTGTCATGTAAAAAATAGCCACATATCCCAATGAAAAAGGAGAGTCTTAGTGTTGTTCTGGCCAATAATCCGGAGTTTCTGTCTAAAAAAGGTATTTTAACCTGTGATGTACAGAGAAATGTGACCAGGAGGATAAGGAGCTAAAAAAACAAATAGAAGGAGTACCTAGGTAATGGGAAGATGTCCTCACATGTTTGAATGTCATGAAGTAAAGACATTACATTTTTGTGTTATTTCAAAAAGGCAGAACCTAAGTGACCAAAAAAAGAAAAACTTAAGATGATGGATTCGGGACCAACATAAGAACTTTTGACTAGTCGTTACCTAAGTGTACCCTGTGAGGGGTTGGCAGTGGTCCCCGGGCATTTTGCAGGTGCAGACAAAAGTGAATCAGAATGAGTTCCTTTCAAACCTCAGGTTCAGGATGGGTCCAGGATGGGATCTGGAGGGAGTCAGTGGCCAAGGGCTAGAGGAGCAAGAGCGCTAGGCCCCTCGTTTCCCCAGGGAAGTGGGCTGCTGGCAACAGCTGTCAGCAGAAACTGGGTCCAGAGTGGGCAACTTGGTACTCCCCCCACCACAGGCACAGAGAGGACGTCCTTCTTGGTGTTTGGGGTGGCGGAGGCATTCCATAGTTCCATGAAGTGGGGCTCTCGGCCACGCAGGTCTGTCCGTCTACAGGAGCTGGCTGACAGACCCATTCTGATGGAAGAGTGGTGGTTTCGTGCATGGCTGTGTGACAGCTTGCTTCTGTGAGCCTTGATGAGTGGGAGGATGACCCTGGGACTGTGGAGACAAGGTTTTTAGGCCACTCATTTTGAAAGTAGCAAGTAAAGCTGTGAGTCTTGTCATCTCCTGAGTAGAAACTCGGCCTTCTGTGTGTGTCCTGTCTCCTTGTCCTGCTTGTCTGGTCTGCCCTTGGTGTCTTGGCTGGGGAGGCTGGGGTGAGAGTTAAAAGCGGTTCACTGTCAGTTGCAGGATGAGGAGCGCAGACGCCAGCAGCAGTTGGAGGATATGCGCAGGCGGGAAGCAGAAGACCGCGTGAGACAGGAGGAGGAGCGGCGTCTGGAGGAGGAGCGAGCCAAGCGGGACGCCGAAGAAAAGGTCCTGGTCCTCTGAGGGCAGCTAGCATTGCCAGTTAGCCTGACCTGGTGATTGGCTGGGGCAGAGGGGCTAGCCTCGTGGCTCAGATGCACACGGCAGAACAGGGCCGGACCCCCAGCTTTGGTTATGGACCAAAAACTCTCTCCCGTCTGGCCTGCTACCTCTCTTCTGGACTGCCTCCAGGCCCCTTGCCTTCTGAGCTGTCCCTCAGACTCCCGAACTCCTAGGTCTGCATGGCGCTGGGCCTCTGGGCGCAGGCCCCCTCGCAGGGTGTGGACCCCACTGGACAGGGTCCAGCTCGTTTTTGTGAAGATGCCACTTGTTAAGTTATTGACTTGAGTCAGCCCCATGGGAGGCAGTGGGAACAAACAGTAAGACAGTCTGGTAACTGACCATCTCAGATAGGGTTTTCACTGAAATCACTCCATTTTTGTAGTGGTTAAGAGAACAGATGGCTGTTTGGAAAAAAAAAAAAAATCATTCAAGGAAAATTTAGTCTACAACCTGATTTATATTCTGAGTTATTTATTTCTCTGTGTGTGTATTAATTCAAGTGATTCTTCAGTTGAATTGTAAAATGACATCTGATTTTGAGAAATGGGCACCTTGTGAGGCAGTTCTCAGATCCACGTCTGTGTGCATAGCTGCAGCCCTCCCCATGGGCAAGAAGACCCCAACTCGTCCAGGGACTACAGGGAGCTGTGCAGCTGCAGAGGGACCATGCTCCCCAGTCACCTCCCTTCTGTGAAGGTCGAAGCCTTGAGCGTCACAACTTGTGACAGGGAAAGCTTAGTTTTATTAGCAGTTGTTTCCTTGATAGTGCAGTGAGCTGTGTCAGTAAGACCCCCACCCACTGCCATTGTTTTTAGGAAGCTTTTGGTATTGTGGTGATGGATTAGGCTACAGGACAATCTAACCACAAGCAGGACTGATATCATGCTGTGGCTCAGTTAGACTTAGGGAATAGGTGGCCCCTAGAGTAGAGCGTGTGTAGGCAAGCAATGGATGCTGGGAGGCCTGGGCCTCTGTGAAGGGCATCCTCCAGCACTGCTGTGGCTCAGCAGCTCCCAAGGGCTGGGGGAGCCTGGGTTTCCCCACAAGTCTTTCACTTGTGTAACAGAGGCAAAGCAGGGGTTTCCAGAATCTGACTCTCTGGTTTCTAAGCCTGTGGCGTTGTTGGTGGTGGTGTGCTGTTCTGAGAAAGCCCCCTGCCTGTTAGGAGGGTGCCTTTCCCAGGTCAGTGCCTGCCAGCTGTGCCAGTGCTGCCGGTGCCCATGCCTGTGGTCAGGCCCCGTCTTGGCCTCACTGGAGCCATGGTGAGGCAGCCTTGCCATCACCTCAGGGCTGTGTCCACAGAGGGCCAGGCTGCGTTTTGTTGTTGAGGAACTCTTGGGTTCATTTTTCCAACGTGCATTCTTGAACTTACTATTATGCTGAATACACTTGTGTTTTAGTAACTGCTTCTATAATTGAGTGGTCACTGTAAAAAAGCTGAAAACCCTATTTTTAATACAGAATGTTCAGAATTGACGGGTTTGTGTTGTCATAGAAAAATGTCTGGTCCTTTTCTGGGTAGAGTCACGTCCCCTTGGTCATGTGACTGTATCTGCTCTTGGTGTATCTGCTCTTGGTGTAACTGCAAGGGGTTTGGTTTCCGCCCTGTGTTATCAGGCAGCTTGCTCCTCCTCTAACTCCAAGGCTCTTGGTAGAGCTGTTCCAAAGTCACAGAAGTCATTCTGATTTGCCCTGCCCAAGGGATTGCTGACTTTGTACAGATAGGAGAATAAGAATTCTTCTCCTTCAAGGGTCTCCCAGCAGAGAGCAGAAGGTGAAGCTCGAAGTTGGTGTATGGAGTGCAGAGGGCTGGCAGTTCCTTAGTTTCCTCCGTAGTTTCTGCAGTTGGAGCAGGGGCTTTGGTGTGTATGTGCATGAGCTTTGGCTCTAGAGGGAGCAGGAGAGGATACAGCCCAGAAATACAAGAATGAACACTTATCTTGGTGCCAGCAGGACCCCAGCAATTCTTTTTTGTTGAATGAATTGAAACTTCACTGTATTCCAGCACTAGACATTCACTGGGGTTAAGCAGGTGATCTGTTGGATCTTTCACTCCCTTTCATACTTACTTTTTCCCTCTGTGCTCTAAAACTCATGTCAATCTTTAACAAAACTGTGCTGTTACCTTTTTTTAATGTCAAAACAATTTTAACACTGTCAACTGTAGTTTGTGCAGATGTATGTCAGAAAAAATGTACAGTATGTGTCAAAATATATTTGAATTCAGTATCTTATTGCTGTTGCTATTCATGCTTGGCTCTCTAATTTTCTGTCCACCAGGGAGTTTATTAAGATTTGAAATGTAAGTTAAGAACTGGAAAGCATTATTTGTTAGTTTGTTGCTTTGGGAAAATAAGTGATATTCCTTACAGTTTATGGTTTCCTAGTAAAACAGCATTAACAGGTAAGTTAATGTCCTACCAAAACAGAAGGGGAGAGGAGGAGGAGGAGGAGGAGGAGAAGCAGGAGGAAAGAAAGGAGTGTAAGGCTTCATCTTGTTTCGTGACTGGAGGGGCCTGATAGTGATCTAAACTATTGCTGAGCAGTTTTATGTCACATAACCCAGATTAGTCCAGCTGTGACCTAAGTACCCTTCCCAGGAAAGAAAGATTCTCCCCAAGGAGAGTATTTCTGGGTTGACCCACTTCTTCTGTTGCAGTAGTTGTGACAGTTAAATGTGACATCCCGTGGACATGTGGTCGGTGTGAAGATGGGGCCTGGTGGTCAGTGCACCTGTCATATTCCGTGAAGGCCCAGAGGGTCCGCCTGTCCCCTCCTGATCTCTGACCTTGTACTCTTGTCTATTCCCGCCTGCAGAGGCGACAGGAAGAAGGGTATTACAGCCGCCTGGAGGCCGAGAGGCGCAGACAGCATGAGGAGGCGGCGCGCAGGTTGCTGGAGCCCGAGGAGCCCGGGCTGTGCCGACCTCCGCTTCCACGGGACTACGAGCCCCCGTCCCCGTCCCCTGTGCCCAGCGCCCCTCCTCCCCCACCTCAGCGAAACGCCTCCTACCTCAAAACACAGGTCCTCTCCCCAGACTCGCTGTTCACTGCCAAGTTTGTTTCGTACAATGAGGAGGAGGAGGAGGAGGACTGCAGCCTAGCAGGTCAGGATAAGTACTCCAGCGTGAGGAAGTCTTATGGGCATCTTCCTCCTGCCGCCCTTAAGCCACAGCAGCCCCCCTGCAAGCCACGCCCGGCCTCCGATGGCATCTTTCTCTCCAACTCATTCCAGCCACCCTCGGCCAAAGCCAACAGTACTGCCCACAAAACAGGCCAGCCCCCACCCCCTCCAAACAAACCAAGCTTCTGCCATCCTGGCCACTGTAAAGGTAGAGGTAAAAGATAGAGTGCAAGCCCCACCCTCTGGTCTTGATGATTGGAACCTGGTCTCTGCACAGCTGCACCTGGGGTGGCCCGAGATCACCTGCTGTGGAGTCTGGGTTCCACTTGGTTACACTCAGCATGGTGATCTCCCTCCACCCCCAGCTGCAGTGTCCTGCTAATTGCTCTGCTGATGAATGTCTCTGGTTTCTCTCACTCTGAGAAGCTCCATCCCGTTGATCAGCTGACAATCAGTCCTCCCCCTTTACTCCAGACCATGAGTACTGTTGGTCTTGGCTTTCATTCTCTCCCTCTTCCAACAATTTTCACCTGTGGTTGAGCAAGTGCCTTTTTCGCACATTGAACTGACTCTAAAGGTAGCAATGAAGGTGCATTTTTAGTTTACACGTCAGGCATCCCATACTTGGTGGTGGCTTGTCTGGAGGGTGGAACATCTGCTGAGCTGGTCTCCAGCACAGCCACTACCCAGGATCTAGTGCCCCAGTTGTCCTCCGGTTCCTCTCCTCGCCCTGGCCTTCCTTCCCTGGCCTTTCACTCAGAAAGAAGCCAGGCAGCCGTAGACCTAGTTGTGGTTAGTTAGGGAAAAGCCCCTGGCTGCCTGCATGCAGAGCTGCTCCCTGCAGAGGTGCCAGAGCAGCAGGAGTTATGCTTAAGGTACACTGAACTCCACCCAGGTGACAACACTGGAATTCAGCTTTGAGCCCACTCAGATACAGTCGGTTGGTCAGTTTTTGTAGCTTTAGCAAGTGCGTGCACCTTCCGAATTCTGTGGAGCTCCACGTCACCAACAAGTGGAGGTCAGCCTCTCAGAGCTCAGTGCAACCTGACAGAGGAGTTTTTCCCCAAATTCTGCCTTTTCTCTACCTGAATCAGCTTTAATCCACATTGAAGGCTTGGTGTTTCATAATACCTAGGTTGAGAAATTCTGAAAGCCAACTTGAATCTTTTTTGTAGAATTTCACCATAAGTATTTAGAACTTGGTACCTCTTAGAGACACTCATGGAGTAACAAATTTTGAAGGAAGGTGCTATCAGTGTTGTATTAAATTTTATAAGCTAAGCTGTACAAATTTGTAAGTGTTGTGACAGTTGTGAGGTTTGGTGGCGGAACGCTGCAGGTCGGAGTCATTTCTAACCATCTTGGCTCTCAGTCCTATCACTAACCCTTTATTTCACAACGAAGTGGCACTTCGGAGCAGGTTACAGCCTGCGTCTGATTGCTCAGCCTCTTTGAAGATCCTTCGTAAAGTTGCGGCCTCTGCAGCTCATGCAGAGCCCATCTGGCCCTGTCTTCGTCCACTCCCTCGCATGCCTGTGTCCAGCCTTCTGTTGTGAGCTCTCTGGCGAGCATGCTTCTGCACGTGGGACTTGGCCTCTTCCACTGGGCAGTGTGAGGAACAGAATTTGGATACAAATCAGAGTGAATGATGCTGATTTCAGCATAGCAACACATTGAAAAAGAAGCACTACTAAAGCTCTGGGGAAACTTTATAATTGGCAGTATTCAGATGTATATATATATTGCTGGAGGTTTTTGATATTCTAGGAACAAAGTTTAAAAGTTTTGAAAAATTGATTTTTTTTACCAGTGAAAGAAGCCAGTATCATTTCCAACAAAGCTCAAAAGATGCCACAGTATTTTTTAAAGACAGATGAAATGAAGGATGTGTTTGGAATTCACTCCAGAAAGACCCTTTCTCATAGTTTCCAGGAGGCCACTGTGGGTGACCGTGAGATAGAGACATGCTTTGCTGTGTCTTTTGAGCCTTGTTAGGGGGGACCCTGGGGCAGCCATAGGGTAAAGCACCCTATGGCCCCCCTCTCATCTGTGTGTCTGGGGAGCTCTGCACCATGGACTCTTCATATGGAAGAAAACTCATCTTAAAAATTCATTTTGTGCACCTTGTTTGGGGGGAAAAAAGGCTTTAATATAAAAGTACAGCAATAGCTTTGTGGCCTGTTTAATCCAATATTTGACACTGTCAGTGTGGGGTATTTTGAGCATTTAGTACTCCAGCCTGTATTTTTATAAGCAGGTTTTTCAGGTGTGAATTTTTTTTATATTTTATTGTCACAATTAATAGGTACACATTAATAATGATTTAGTACACTGTGATTTTTATATTATCAGTGGCAGTATTACCACATGCTTGGATACACCTGGAACTCTCCATTTACATCATCTCTGGATCTCCAGCAACTCACCAAGGGTACTGGGGGGCTGCCTGACTGGTTGATGCCATGAGCAGCCATGGCAGCCCAGCTGGCTTTAAAAACTTTACTTTGTTTTTAATAATTACAACCATTTGTCTTGAAAAACAATTCAGTAGCTTTCCAGAGAAGAACTCAATCATGTGCTTACCTGCTTAATCTCTGGCACTGCATTTGCTTCAGAGATCTTGTAAAAAAAATTCTTGGTTTCAGCAGCATGTTGGAACACTTTGCTAACCTCCCATTTAAGTGAAATTTCTGTGGCTTTGTCTTCTGAACTTGTGCTCACCATGCACTCCATCAGATTTGAGTTGGTTATCACACATCCACCACAGTGTTCCACTCAAATGATGAAGGGAGGTGAGCTGTTGAGCACCAGCTGAGTAGTGATTGGGTTACTCAGGCCACCAAGAGACGCAGGCTTCCTGAGGTGCGTCTTTCATCTGATATGAAGAGCCTTGGCTTTCTTGTTTGCTCAATGATTAAAGGTGTCTTATTTTGTGGGGGTCACTGTATCTTTATTGTCATGAAGGTTTACAGATAATCGGGTACTTTAACTTGGACTTTTTCTTTTTTGGAAAAGGACTGAACCCTTACCCAGCATCTGCTGGGGCAGTCAGCGGTGCCCATGATGCTCCTCGGGATGCAAGAGAGAAGCACACCAGAAGGTACCCTGAGTCACGTTGGTAGTGTCTGTGACCAAGATGTTGCTAACTTGTGTGAAACTGGGTTGAAGTTTCAAAGGCTTCATTAGCTCCATGTCTCCATTGTACAAGATCACAGGAGCACATGGAAGCTCTTTAACGTTGGTTTTCTCATGTAGCTCTGTTTCAGACAGTGATATAGGTGCTGGGCTTACCGGCCAGGCACTAGAAGCAGTTAGCTGTGTTGCCATTTGCTTCTACCAGAGAAGGTTGAAAATCTGAGGAGAGTAGCCAAGGATATTGCTCAGCCATGTGGAGTCAACCCTGAGATTGCCCAGAGTATAAACCAGCTGTACATTATCACAGACTGTCCTCACCTGGATCTTAGTTCTCAATGCCAGCTATTTTGAAAACAGCCATTCTGGTTCCTAGTATTAAATTAGATGTATCTATAGGTGTGAGTCATATGCTGTATTTTGAAACTGCACCCTTTGGTTAAATTTGTTTAACTGGTAAGAAACACCTGCTTGCTGAAATCTGACTCACTAGTGTCTGAATGTTGGATATGACTGGGGAATGTTATAATTTTAATAAGGAGAACATTTTGCCTATATTTGTATGTGGGTTTAAACATAGCCCCAGTAAGTTTACTTGTAAGAAGCGTTATAACAACATTCAGCAAAGAATGTGTCTCCTCTCTGAGAGTTTCAACTGATTGCTCATTATGCAGACTTAGCTAGCTATGGGCAGGCATGTCTGCATTGAAGGGTAATCTTTCATTTGTCTCTTGTCCAGCCAAGATGCAGATTTACCTGGAAGTTCCGGAGCCCCTGAAAACCTGACATTCAGAGAGCGTCAGCGCCTTTTTTCACAAGGTCAAGATGTGTCCAATAAAGTGAAAGCTTCCCGTAAATTAACAGAACTGGAGAATGAACTAAACACAAAGTGAGGAGCGGCACAGGGCAACTATGTGCACACAGATCTGCTCAGGGGTCACAGGTGGGAACCTGAAGAAGAGGGGGGAGGCTGTGTTTCTAAGTGATTTCTAATTTCAGATTCTAAAGTGGTTGTAATTTAGAGATGTTCAAATTCCAAGAAATTTTATTTTGCTTCAGCAAGAAATTGTTGTTTGTACAATTTGAACCCTGTCTGATTCTGAGTGATCTCACGTGAGGGTATCTTTTTGTTGGTTTATTTTTGGAGTCCTGGCCTCATGGGGCAAAAAGAAGAACAGTCAAGGTACTGTCTCCCTGTCCTGGTGCCACACACTGTAGACCAAGAAGTCTCTTCCTGGACTTTCTTGGAAACTTCATTTTGCCCATGACCCTCAGATTGGCTACCCCGCCCTGCCTGCTGTGTGCGCTCCATTGCCACAGCCTTTTAGGATCGAGGGTGGACGTGTGGACTGCTCCTCTGGCCCCTTCGGGGTACGTTTCCAGTTGCCTTCTTGTCTGGGCCACACAGTAGCCTGGACAGCAAGGTCCTGTGAGCAGAATGGCGCACGGCCCATCTCACCCCACAAACAAGAGCCCCCAATCAGTTCTGAATATTGGATTAAATTAAATTTTTGATTAATATTTGATTTCTAAAATTCTCAAAGAAGAAAATTTTGAGGATTTAATCTTAGGAGATTTTATTTTTATAAATACAGGTTGTTGTTAGCCTAATAAAAATCATTGATGAAATTGAAGATGACAGTTATTCTAGAAGGTTAACTAATATTTCATATATTCTAAGGAGTCTATCAAAGATCTCTGTAGCTGAACAGTGTTGATGTAACTAGGATCAAAAATGCCTGAGAAAATGGGGATATTGGTAGGTGATCCCCAAGCACAGATGTCACTAGAAAATTTAAATCTGGAAAACGAATTTACATTGATATTCTGTGAGAAAGAAAGGAATTCCTTGACTATGCCATCTGTAACTGGAGTATTGCAAGAATAATTCATGGCAGTTTGAGCTTTGTTTTTTATAGTATAATAGTTATTTAATTTTAATTTGTGAGTTCTGAGTTATCACTGTCATTTTTTTCAGCTGTGGGTATATGGCTGATGTTGGGGAGACGGACCTCAGTTTGTTTATGTTGTGTGATGTTAAAATGGTAAAATTTTTTGTGATTTTAAGCACATTTCCTATTTGACAAAGCCCTAATGGGGTCCAGATGATCTTTCTGTACCATATTGTTCTCTTACGAAGATGTATGTTGGGAAAATATGCACACTTTCAAATAGAACAGAGGCATTTGCTGCCCTAGAAACCACTTTAATATGAGTTGTATGATAAAATGTCCAAAGTACAAGTGTAAATATTTTTTTGTCTATCAGGGTTCTTATTTGAAAGTGTGCTTTCTCCATTCCCCCTGTAAGTAAGAGTCGAATGGTCCCGAGAGCTGATGAAGGATTTGCACACTTGCCCCGGAAAAAGCAAGCTCCTCCTGGTGTCTCAGGGGCACTGGCGCCTCCAGGTGGCAAATCCACACCTTGCCTAGAGAAACACGGGTGCTGATAACTGCCTGTCACACGTGGGAGACAGACACACACAGCACGAGTGCAAACAGGGATATTTGTGTGTTTGTCAAACCCAGACAAAGGTGGATTTGGCCATCCCTGGACGATGAGGTCAAATGTGAATATGTGTAAAAGTGCTTTTCATGATGTGCATTGCTATGGGAAAAATCCAAACTGCTGTAGTTTTCCATTTCTACTGTATTTCGGTTGCAACCTATTTTTAATAAACTTTGTATGTATTTAAGTGTATTCACTGTTGTTTTAAAAATGCTGACAGAGTTTATATTTCTAACAGCAGCCCTGTCTCCCTTGCCTCCATCTGTCACTCATGTTAAACAATGCAAAACGCTGCTCCCCTGTATTTTCCACCTGTGGGGACATGTTCTTTGCAGGATGAACAAGTCCACTGAGGCTCAGGTGAGTTTCATAGCGTCCATGACCAGAGTGCTCCTTCCCCACCTTGTCACTTGTTTTGCACCTGAGCAATCCCAGGTGGCCCCTGGGACCATTTCTTAGTTAGGATGCCCCATCCTGGCCACTTTGAAATTCCTAAACACATCCAGTAACGAGCATTGTGTGAATGTTCCTGAGCTGTGTTTAAATGCAAGCACCCAGTTGAGGCAGCTGGTGAAAAGGGATGTGCGGGACTAAAAGTGTTAAGTCCGTGTTGAGGAACTCCCACTGGCCAGGAGTGAGAGCAAGCCCCACAGCCAGACCAGGTTTGTGCAGACTGTGCCCGCAGGGCCAGCCCTGCCCTTGACCCCGTATGCCTGAGTGTGCGTCCCCCCGCCCCCCCCCCCGCCTGTCCCCGGGGTACCTCTTCTTCACTCACAGGTTCCTTTATGCTTCATAGCCTGTGAGCAAAGGTGCGGAGCAGGCGGCGCGGAGGGTACAAAGGGCTTCTAGGAGAGTTCGAGGGAGGAAATAGAGGGCCAGAGAACACAGCTGCAGACAGGCAGGAGTGACTGCTGTTCTGCTGCACAGTGGAGCAACTGTGATCAATACTGTGTTTTGAGACAGGCTCCCATGAGGGAAGCAGCGTGTCAGGGCTGGGAGAACTTGTGGGAGGCCTTTGATGGCAGAACTGGGTATTTACATTTCTGAATCATACTATTCACTCTTACTGTATGCTAATGCCTGAAAAGATACTTGAAAGTTTGGAGAAAGCAAGTCTTGGAGACTGAGGATCAGTACTGATTCCACTCCATCTCACAGCCATATTTCTCTGGAAATAATGACTTTGACCTACAGTGTTCCTTCAGGTCTGAACCACATGAAGTAGCAGCAGGGTCCTTGATAATTTCCTACTGTGTACCATTGGACAAAAATTTCCTCCGTGTTTTACTGGACAGAAAACTAATCCAAAGGCTCAGCCATATATTTAGGGTAACAGTAAACAAAATCTAAGTCAAGTTACTTGCAGAAGGGAAAATGTGCCCCCAAATGGTCAACACTTTTGTATGCTGGCATTTCATCTTGTGGATTCACAAAGTCAGTAACCAGAAGGGTGCATGTTTGCTTGTTAGACTTCAGACTGGGATGTGGAAGTCATTTCTGTGTGATGTTCAGTGAAGATTACGGGTGCCAACTGGTCAGAGGTGACCCCACTTCCCAAACTGCCCTGGAATGTAGTTCTGGCGTGGCTTCGTTAATATAAACACGCATTTAGTAACCGAACTTTCAGGTGGTGGACTCCCAGAGAAAACAACCAGCTTTCTTGAGAGGAGGGCACATTTGCAGGTAGGGGGTGGCACAACGGACCAGGTGTCTGCACAGTCAGTAACGCTCCGCAGAGCGGCCAGTGCCAGGTGGGAGAGGCGGACCTCACAGGCCATAGTGAGAAGTTCGTGCAGCGGGCAACCCCAGCCAGGCAGAAAAGGTGTGAGGGTCGCCTCGCCCACGGTATCCAGAGAGCCCTTGGAGAAAGGAGTGGGAGTGGGCAGGCGGCTCCTGCAGCCAGGGTCCCTGGGTGCCCCGTGGGCCTGCTTACCCCGCCCCCAGGGCCGTGCTCCCCTGCTTTCTCCACTCCTCCCATCGCCCGGCCCGCGAGCTTGCTGTGCCCCGCCCCCACCCCGGTGGATCCGCCCCTGGCCCCTGGCTGGTCGGCCCCTGGCCCCTGCTTGCCCCCCTCCACCTGTAGGCCTGGATCCCTGCGATGAGGCCCGCAAGTGCAGGTGACACCCGTGAGTGCTGCTCCCTATGGGGCCTCGCAGAGCGACGAGCGCAGCAGCTGCAGCGTCAAGTGCGGGTGAGTGCCTGAGGGGCCTAGCGGCTGGAGCCAACCCCTCACCTGGGCGTTGGGGGCCAAGGGAGAATTTGTGGGGTTCATGGATTTCATGGATCCGTGAAATTGAAGATGGGCCAAACACACACACACACACACACACAACCTGGCTTGCAGGACATAAGGGGTCGCTGGCCTGTCTGCCCTCCCCCAACGGCTCCTCATCTCCAACTCAACCTGGGCCCCTCTGCCCACCTACCCATCTGTCCACTCCCCCTCTGTCCTCCTACCCTGTCCACCACTGTCCTTCACACAGCCTCTTCCTCTTCGTGGAATGCCTGCTGCATGCTGTGCAGCTAGCTGCTGGGCATGCCTGATTAGGAAGAAACAGGCATCACTCCTGTCCTTATCCCCATGGAGTCTGCAGTGTGAAGGAAGCAGACTGATGAAGCAGTTTAGAGAAATATAATACTGTGTGGCAAAGACCTCAAAGACCACCCCCTGCCCCCGGGAGGTAACATAATGAGACACTGAGAGGCCAGGAAGGTCCCCTGTGTCCTGATGGCTGAACCATGTTCTGATGGGGGCTGAGCGTATAGAAAAGGCTTCCTGTGGGGACAGATATATGGTGGCCCTGGGCTGGATGGCACACAAAGCAGTGGGTTGCCCAAGGACCTTTATCTCAATGCCAAGGATACGCTATCAGAAAGATTTTAAGAGGGAAGCAAGACATGATCAGATCTGTCACTTTGTGCAGTCATGGTTCAAGGGTATGAAGGATCATGGAGGTCACTTGAGAAGGCCATTGCAGGCAAGGACTTCTAGGGTGAGGGTGAGGAGCTCTGTGGACCTGCTGTAAGCAAAATTGAAAACCGTAGGAAATAAGTGTTTAAGGCCTCTGGAATCATCCTCAGTAAACGCATCAAACAAGAAAGCATTCAGTAAAGACAACGTGCTAAAATTTCCCCAAATCATCGAGGTCTCTGTGTTCTGCCTCCCCCTGGCTCAGCTTCACCAGCTCCTGTGTCTGGGGTGACCAAGAGGATGGGATCCCTCTCCCTCAGCTACCTCAGGGCAGTCACATCCTGAGGGCCAGGGAATTGGGACTTCAACATGTGCCTTGGAGGGAGGGCAAAGCCAGCCCCTAAGGAGCCACAAGTTAAACTATAGGCCAGCTCGGGTACTAGAGAGAGGTAGGGAGATGGCTGAGGAGAGCCTTTCTGGGTTTAGGATAAACGTCAAAGACTGGATTTAAAAATTATCACTGCCCCCAGTTTCATTGGACCAGATGATCTTGGAGAAATGTATGTCCCAGGTCATTGTCAACATCAATAGAGCAATCAGTCAGTAATTAAGGGAGTTTATTAAGCAGGCTGGTTGTTGTAAGCAAAACAACCAACACTGTTCTGCACCATTACGAAAACACAAATAACTGGAGGGAAGCAGACCTCAAGTGGGTCAGCAAGCTCTCCTTTATTCTGCAGCAAGCAGTCAGCCAGGCACTGGTGGGGCTCATTCTGGGTAGGAAAATGGCCACTGCTTTACAGAAGAGTCTTGGGTTTTTACAGTGAGGGTGGTTTAATCACTGGAGACTGAAGCAGCACATGTTGGTTTGGACAGTCAGGAAAGAAGCTTAAAAAGAAGTTGAGAATGCCACTCATCGTCACTGGGAAAAGCGCAGACTCCGTGTTCACTGCTGATCTTCTTTCTCCAGGATTCATCGTCTCCCAGAGCTTCACCATTGGTTTTTCTCTTCCAGAACTCATCGGCAATGGGAAAGGGGAAAAGCCCAGGACGAGTGTCTCAGTGTCTGCCTCCTCCCTTCAGGACTCCCTGTGGTTGGGAAGGGATGACTGTTTGCTTTTAGAGATGCTGGGGATGAAACTGGGAAGGGATGAGAGTTTGCTTTCATTGTTACTGAGAAAGGCTTCCCTGGGAGAGATTAATGATCTTCTCCCTCTTCCTCTGGGCCAGATAGTTTTAGGGGTTGTCATTTTCCATATCTTTCAGAGGTGAGGCCAAGAAGGTCCCCTGTGTCCTGATGGCTGCTTAACAGAGGGATCAGAAAATGAGAGGGGCAACAAGCCCCACTCAGACCACCACCAACCCAGTGTGGCCTGGGGGAGGTCATCAGGAGCCTGGTAGAAATTACACAATCTTAAAAACAGAGATAGAAATAAGTTGAAGAAAAATGAAGAGAACATCAGGAATAGATGTGAAGCCTTTAAACACATCAACCTATGTATCATGGAGGAACAAGATGGAGAGAAGAGACAGGAACAGAAAACCCCAAGTGTGCTGAAAAACGTGAACCTACAACATCAGAGAAGCTCAGTGAACTCCAAGAGTGAGGTAGATATTGAGATACCCACCCACATGTCACAGTAAACACTGATATGATAGCAGGAAGAGAGAAACCAGTGGTCAGAGATTCCAAGAGGACTTGATGCTGACTCCAGAAACAGTGGAGGCCAGGGCAGGAGGGCATGTCCACAGTACGCCAATAAAAAAAACTTCTCAACAAAAAAAACCTGACCCAACAAAAATGTCATTCAAAATGAAGGCAAAAGCAAGTGTGATGGTGTACTCCTATAACCCCAGAGACCCAGGAGGCTGGGCAACTTAGTGAGACCCTGTCTCACTAAAATGAAAATAAATCTGGTTTCCTCCAGGGACAGGGACATTTGTCAGGATGAGTGGGTCAGTCTGTCAGGAAGACATAAAGCTATGAATGTGATGGACCTTACCACAGGGCCCTAAAATAAGTGGAACAAGAACTCGGCAGTCAAACCAAGAAATAGGCACTTCAAAAATAAAGGTTGTGAACGTCGGTGCTCCACTTTCCACAGGGACAGTGACAGCACAGGGACCAGCGAGACCCGAGAGACATCCCTGCAACACGCACAGCTGAATGTATCTGCCGAGAGAGTGCCAAGTGCATGCCAAGCGCCGCCGAGTGCGGGCCGAGTGGGGCCGAGTGCGGACCGAGTGCGGGCCGAGAGGGACCGAGTGCGGACCGAGTGCT